CAAGTTAGTTCATAAGTAGTGCATCTTTATTTGTTAAAAAAACGTTAACTGACATGTAAATAGCAGGCAGATCTCATAAAGAACCTGGACATCAACAATAACTATATAATAAGACATAGTATCCAAACACTAGGAATACAAAGCTGTATTCCTGGCACTATAGTTCCCTCTGCCATCCCCCTCCCTCGTCGTTCCCCCCCCTACCCGACAAGGTGAATAAAGGGTTAAACACCTTTTATTTACTTACCTGATCCCAGCGCCGATGTCCCTCAGCGCTGGGTCACAGCTCCTCTGGTAGACAGCCACTGGAGGCTGACTTCGAGCTGCAATGTAAGAATGAAGAATGGCAGATTGAGTTTTTAATTTGGAGACAGGTGAAGTAGAAACATTGTCTCACTTTCATTTCTCCCTATCTATGTATCTCTTCCATTACTGTGCTTGAAGTAAATGCTCAAACTCCACACTACTACCCACATATTCGTTGGAAATACAGAGATATGGAAAGTCAGGTAGGAGAGGAGAAATAGGTACAACAGGATGAGGGAGGACTATTTGAGGGGGACTCATAAATTGGAGAAAGTGGTTTAACGATGGGTGGTAGACCCATTAGGCTAGGGATGAGTGAGAAACATCAATGATGTGTGGGGTAGTTGAGCAACAAGTAAAGGGAGACATTGATGACAAAGACAAATGAGAAGGTGGGACATAGAGGTAAACATTGGGAAGAAAATAGGTGGAAAGCACATGTAAGAAGTAATTAAAGAGCAGTGGGAAAGACATGTGGGAAATATGTGGGAGTATGGGAGAGAGATAAGTGGGTAGTAAGGTGGGGTCCAACCATTTACTTTAAGCACAGTGAGACAAAAATTGGGAGTGATGAAACTGAGACAATTTCTCTAGTTTAGCTATTTTGGTCTAAATGTTGATATTTGTTTTTAATTCATTACATCTACTACTTGGTGAATACACCCTACAGTGCATTGTTTATTTGGTATAAACAAGGTATATAGTGTAGTGTATATTCTGTCTGTAGTGTCCCCAGGTAAGAAGTCAAACCATTCAAGAACTGTTTGACTAATTACATTGGAGGAGAGGCATCAGGGCACTTATGGCACTATAACTACTACACCCTGCTGTAGTGGTTATGTTGCTTGGAGTGTTCCTTTAAATATTTAGTAGGCCTATGTAACAAATGTATGGAAAGCAAAGGAAGAAAAGTAATATATCATTCCTACTTATTTTAAAAATTTTCATCATCTGAGTATGCTCATTATTGAGATGATGAATTTTAAAATAAACCCAATGAAAATATTTGTGGAAAAATCGAAATTTATGCTTTTCAGAGAACTCTTTATCTTATATTTAGATGATTATATTGCACATGTAAGCATATATATATTTATAGTTAATGTCAGCTGTTTGAGCTCCAAGGGTTTAGGAAAATCCCTAGAAAATATCTAGATCTTTAGAAAGTCACAGAAACTCATAAACAACGAAGAGATGTTTTAATGTTTAATATTTAAGGTTTTATTTTTATTAATTAAGAAATGTTATTTATAATTTTGTTTTTGTAGAAATATTTTGGGGGAAAAAAACAAATAATTAAATAATATATACATTTTTCCCCACAGCATATTATATTTGTTGGAATAAATCTAAACTAGCATTGTGTTACATTATAAAATATTTATACATTAGAATAATTTGAAGCGGTTATAAACTCTGTGTCTCTTTACAATTTTAGATATCATCGATGGAAACAAACCTAAAATCAATAGAGGAGGAGAACAAACTAATAGAAAAGAACAATGAAAGCCTTTTGAAAGAGTTAGCTGGTTTGAGCCAAGCCCTTATTTCAAGTCTTACTGACATACAGCTTCCACATATGGTATGATTTTACGCTTTTCTCTGTAAAACATTTTTCAGCAATTTCTTAACATTGGTAACAATTTTGTTAATCAAGTCTCGTGGGTTAAGCATCAATAACTAGGTAAGTCAGTTCCTTAAATATAACTGACATATCTACTGCCCAAATTCCTTTGAGTTCCTTGTCATGGCTACTTCTCAGAAAATGAGCACCGAACTCCGTAAGCAAAATGGGTGTCTAACTTAAAGGAACACTATAGCATTAGGAATACAAGTTTGTATTCCTAATGCTGTAGTGTTTCAATACCTAGTCTTTTACAGGGCCCCCTATCTGAATAAAATAAAAGACTTACCTTTTTTATTAGCCCTGAGTCTCACTCAGCGCTGCTTACTTCTCCTTCTTCAGTGACATCACAAAGGAGGCAAGGCCTTCTCTGCCGATAGTCCGATCCAATGTACCTCATAGAGGAGCACCACATGCACATTTAAGCTTTTCCCATAGGAAAGCAATGAATCAATCAATTGGGCTTCCAAAGTAATAGGGTTCAATGAGGGCGTGGTCTATGAGAGCTACCTCCATTAAATATACAGGGAGTGCAGAATTATTAGGCAAGTTGTATTTTTGAGGATTAATTTTATTATTGAACAACAACCATGTTCTCAATGAACCCAAAAAACTCATTAATATCAAAGCTGAATATTTTTGGAAGTAGTTTTTAGTTTGTTTTTAGTTATAGCTATGTTAGGGGGATATCTGTGTGTGCAGGTGACTATTACTGTGCATAATTATTAGGCAACTTAACAAAAAACAAATATATACCCATTTCAATTATTTATTATTACCAGTGAAACCAATATAACATCTCAACATTCACAAATATACATTTCTGACATTCAAAAACAAAACAAAAACAAATCAGTGACCAATATAGCCACCTTTCTTTGCAAGGACACTCAAAAGCCTGCCATCCATGGATTCTGTCAGTGTTTTGATCTGTTCACCATCAACATTGCGTGCAGCAGCAACCACAGCCTCCCAGACACTGTTCAGAGAGGTGTACTGTTTTCCCTCCTTGTAAATCTCACATTTGATGATGGACCACAGGTTCTCAATGGGGTTCAGATCAGGTGAACAAGGAGGCCATGTCATTAGATTTTCTTCTTTTATACCCTTTCTTGCCAGCCACGCTGTGGAGTACTTGGACGCGTGTGATGGAGCATTGTCCTGCATGAAAATCATGTTTTTCTTGAAGGATGCAGACTTCTTCCTGTACCACTGCTTGAAGAAGGTGTCTTCCAGGAACTGGCAGTAGGACTGGGAGTTGAGCTTGACTCCATCCTCAACCCGAAAAGGCCCCACAAGCTCATCTTTGATGATACCAGCCCAAACCAGTACTCCACCTCCACCTTGCTGGCGTCTGAGTCGGACTGGAGCTCTCTGCCCTTTACCAATCCAGCCACGGGCCCATCCATCTGGCCCATCAAGACTCACTCTCATTTCATCGGTCCATAAAACCTTAGAAAAATCAGTCTTGAGATATTTCTTGGCCCAGTCTTGACGTTTCAGCTTGTGTGTCTTGTTCAGTGGTGGTCGTCTTTCAGCCTTTCTTACCTTGGCCATGTCTCTGAGTATTGCACACCTTGTGCTTTTGGGCACTCCAGTGATGTTGCAGCTCTGAAATATGGCCAAACTGGTGGCAAGTGGCATCGTGGCAGCTGCACGCTTGACTTTTCTCAGTTCATGGGCAGTTATTTTGCGCCTTGGTTTTTCCACACGCTTCTTGCGACCCTGTTGACTATTTTGAATGAAACGCTTGATTGTTCGATGATCACGCTTCAGAAGCTTTGCAATTTTAAGAGTGCTGCATCCCTCTGCAAGATATCTCACTATTTTTGACTTTTCTGAGCCTGTCAAGTCCTTCTTTTGACCCATTTTGCCAAAGGAAAGGAAGTTGCCTAATAATTATGCACACCTGATATAGGGTGTTGATGTCATTAGACCACACCCCTTCTCATTACAGAGATGCACATCACCTAATATGCTTAATTGGTAGTAGGCTTTCGAGCCTATACAGCTTGGAGTAAGACAACATGCATAAAGAGGATGATGTGGTCAAAATACTCATTTGCCTAATAATTCTGCACTCCCTGTAGATAATAGAGTCTATAATTAGTCTATCATTTTTGCTAATCTTTTTTACTTTTCTGATCTTGTGTGTTGGGTTTTCCCTATGCATTATGCATTGTCACTCTCTGTGTAAGAAACTATATATTCAATTACAAATATAACCCAACTGCTTAAAATAAACTTTTAGATATTTAGAATATCCAATTATGAAATTGTAAACACAAGTAAAATGGTATATACGTTGAGTTTTTATAATCACTTGTACATTTAAATTTTACATTGTTGGTTCATACAAAGATTTTAATTTTAATGTTCTACAATGTTTTTTTGTATGCGGTTACTTAAACAGTTTCTTAAACTTCTTATGCTACCTAAATTGAAAAACTGAATTTGTCCTCTGGGAAGACAGTTTAATGTGTTAATGTTTTATCTACCATATGTTTTCATTTTGTCAAGTGTTACAAGTTCTAGTTGGTATGAATTATTTTGTTCTCTCCTTGCAGGAACCAATCAGTGAACATAATTTTGAAGCATATGTGAATACTCTTACTGAAATGTACAGCAATATTGAAACAGATTATTCTACAGAATGCAAAGCTCTTTTGGAAAGTATCAAACAAGCGGTGAAGGGTATTCATTTATAGAGTGCATGCATCTGCTGGGCATCATAAAGTGACTTAATGCAACTATAATTCAACTCCATATGGATCACGTTGGAGTTTATGTACTAGAAAAGTGTGCTGCATTAACAACTGTAACATTGCACTATTGTTTTATTTTTCATTCTCCAACTGTCATGAAAAAAATATAAAAGACTGTTTGAACTAACAGCACAGCACTTGATTAGTGTATTTCAATGTACTTACTTCGGATCATTTTTTTCTATTGCACTCTTTATTTTGTAAAGTGAATGTATAAAAAAGTGTTTGCGACTATTTTTTATAAATTGTATTTATTTCAGATTGGAGGAGTTTTTGTTCATACCTTTTAACAGTTTTTGGTTAGGCTTACCATATTTTTACAAATATCTTTTATAAGTTATTTTCTGAGTGGATTTTAAATAGATTTAATGAACGATGATTCTGCGAAATTGAAACAACAACAAAATTCTTGTTGGAATGAAAAGATATGTCACTTCAGCAATCACTGTTATATTTTTGGTATTACTGTTTGTTTCCCTTTCTTAGGAGTGAAATAACTATTTTGCAACATGAGGTCTTGGAACAATCTGAATAGATATCCAACATTCTAGAGAATATCTCTTGATTTACATTTAAAAAAAAAAATGCAAGTTCCCTAATTATGTTAGCATTAATAAACAGTAGCATTTGAAACTCATTTTATGTCATTAATTAATTAATTAATTATATTCTTAAAATTACATCATAAGCACTTGATATTTTGCTAGCACTTAAATACTACATACCATCGATACCTCATGGCTTTTAGTATATAGGATATAAGACATAAAAACATATAGTTTCACTTTACACGTAGTGTATTGTGAGCTTTGGATTTCGGCAACTGTCAATATTCTTCCGCTGAAGGTTGTATGAGGAGTGTGAAATATATTATATTTTTTTCTCAATATGTCTTTTTGTTAATGTGACTGTCACCATTCGACCTTATTTCCTGAGTTCATAAACCGAAACAAAGAAGATTGTCAGGTTCAGGAATGTCCATTATTTTGGTACTAGGAGGAGATTACTACATTTTTCTTAATTTTATTTGCCCTTTCTTGAAGTAAAGGTGGACAAAAATAGGTTGGACTTGAAGATCTTGGTTTCATTAATTTTTCCTTTTCACAAACTGTATATTTTTGCAACAGATGATATAAAGAACCAGACAAACTGCCTTGTGTATGCACAGTTGCTGTGCATATGTGCCTGCGTGTAAGTGATTTCTTTAAAACTTAGTTTTTTATTATTGTTATATTATATTTGGTCAATATGCATGTAGTGGGGAATATAAAATGAAGCACAAATTAGTTGATACAAGTTTAATTATTTGCTTTTGGGTGTATTAATTACACAGAGAGTTTTGGTAATATTAAAAGTTAGATTTAAATAGACAAGATGGATAAAAAAAAATCCAATTCAGTTTTTTATTTTTTATTAATTTAGAATTACATTTTTAGTAATTTAGAATTACATTTAGCGAACTAGTCCTCAACTCACCTCAACTCAATGTGCAGTGAACACATTCCTTAAAATATAGGAGTATTCACAAAATGAAATAGTGCACTTCTACATTTTTTAGTTTTCCATAGAAAGTAAATCATTGTCAATGATCATTTCAAGGATACTCCTTAGTGTGTTTTTAAAAAGCTAGTCAATTACACATGTCTGATGGTGGTGTTTCATATACTAAATAATAATGTGTACATGAAGCTTGAAAAATCTGGACACATTAAAAACATGGTATTGGTTCTTAATCCATGTTGACTTTTCAGCCAACATTATATGTTTCACTTTTTATAATACTCTGAATATTAACAAGTGATAAAACAGGTATAATTTACCAATTCTTAGTTTATGTTTTTTTTTTTTTTTTTTATTAAAGTATTATTATTTACAGTATAAACTAATATGGTATATTTATTTATTTATAAGGCATGATAAATGCTCTTATTAGCAGTTTTGATTGGGTCCATGATTTTTAACTATTCAGAAAGGTTGATTTTTTTAGTCAAACTAAATACACATGTAGATATAAAACAATATACTGTGTAAAATGCAACAGCCTTAATGAGTCTTAGGTGCTTAGACACACACCCTACTAAAGTAAATATATCCCCTACGTTTGTTAAAAACATACATTCTAAATGACATGCCTAGTTCTCTAGCAAAGTTCTAATCCATTATTTATCACTTGCAACAAGCATTTTTGTGTTTTAGGATGTTTAGCAAAGAAATTACCAATATATTCTTAGACCTTTTTACATCTAGAGTTATGCTATGAAAGTGCCATCTGGTAATTTATGTTATTAACACCAATGAGGTTTTGGCTTTGGTTATCCCTTTGGGCATATTTGCAAATTATCCTAGATATTATCACCGTGTTTAAATGATGGTGCAATGGATGGACAAGGGCATTGGACTAAAACATAAGAAAAAAAAATAAACTGCCACCTGCAGAGTTAAACTGAATTGGTTAAACTCCAGCTTAATAAGAAGGTGGATACATTCAGGGATGAAGAAGTTAGTCCTTAAAACTTCAATTGATGCACATGTTAATATTTAATTTACTACATATTTATGTGTTCTATATTTAAGTTAAATATGAAATCACTCAAATGTTTGTAGTTATTGCTGAGGCTTTTAATTTAAAATTTGATGTCTGATGCTGAGGATGTTTGGTGATGTATGTTTGTATTTATTTGCTTCCTTTGTAATTGTTGTGTTCTTTGTAACGTGCACTGATATTTTGTGTTCAACTGCATCAATGAGCTGCACTGTAAATTAGATCTTTTGTAAGAAGCAATGTATGCATTTTTTATTTGAAGTAGTTTGTATATTGTGTCTTCATAAATTAATATTTCTTACATTCAAAGCAACAAATTGTGTTTTGTGCTGTATATTTGGTGTATGTTAGGAAATAAAGTTGATTTAAAAAAATCAAAACTAGTGTAGCTTCCTTAATTGTATATGTATTCATTTACTGTAGATTTTGAAAAGGCTCCTTACAGAGGATCTATCATATTTGAGATGACGTTTCTTAAATATAGCAATTTACTTGTATCCTTTTTTATATAATGTAGGTTAATGTTGACTCTAACAGTATAATTGCCCTCTGCAAAGGCAAGGCATTTAAGGCACATTTTCAACTCATTTCAAACAAACTCCAAAAATAAGTATCTTTTGAAGTCCTTGTGGTTTTGTACTGTACATACTAACAGAACAATGATAGAACAAATTAATAATGAATGCTTCATTACACATTTCTAGGGGTAAAATAGACATGTATGTTTTACAGACTAATGATTTTAGGTGTCTGGAGTTCTCCCTATAATATTGTGCCTATGAACAAAAGAGATGTTATCCTTCAATGCAACAAAATAAAAAGTAAAAATAAATTTTAAAAAAAGCTAAACAAACAGATGCATTTTTACAATTGTGCTTCAAAAGTGAGACAATCTACTGGTTTCTAGTTACTATTATGGCTATACAATGCATTATTATCATCCAGTACGCCAAATATTGCAGAAATCCTACTCAAGTTCCTTTGACATCAACAAAAGTATTGCATTTTATAGCACAAGCTGTATGGAGTGATACTTCTGTAACATTATAATGTGGTGAACTGATGAATTTAAATATCAGAGAATATTGTAAATTATAGGGACACTATAGTCACCAGAACAACTACAGTTTATTGTATTTGTTCGAGTGAATATAATCATTCCCTCCCGGATTAGGCAGATTAGGGGCAGAGCCAGCAGCAGCAGACTTGAATCAAGGTTACATTTTGCAATATTTAGGGGTGCAAGGAGGGGTAGGGCAAGGGGGCTAGATGGAGGTTTTAGCACTCTAGGGTCAGGAATAAATGTTTGTGTTCCTGACCCTATAGTGTTCCTTTAATGTCACATCACTGAAGACATTGGCTTAAAAACCAACAAACTAAGCTTATTTTAAGTTTATATGAAGTGGATCAGAAGCTATTAAAATAAGGAGGTTAATGGATAATTTATAATTGAGGCAAAACATATCAAAATCGCATTGCTCATTCTGGATTCAAAGCAGTGGCAGTCTTCATTAAGGTCATCTGGGAGATGATGGATAAAGTTCGACTAGATTTTGGTTCTGAGGTTTTATATACTTTATATTATTCCTGGATAGGGGTGACAAATGCATGTGACCCATTAATGCTGGGACAATAAAAATGTAATTTGACTCTACATCTTGCTACAACTGAGCTTTAACTGCTTAACATTTGATATATAAGCCACCACTTGTCATGCTGCTGGTAGAGGCATATATCCAGTTATAGCTAAGGTATTATTATTATTATTATTATTATTTGGTGTTTATATAACATATTCCACAGTGCTGATAGAGAGAATACAGTCAGATAATAAAAACATATAGATACAAAAGAAACAGAGGACCTTGCCCGTGAGTTTACAATCTAACAAATACACAAAATGCCTCACAAGATAACACATGAGCTTACAATCTAAAGGTATTAATAGAGTGCTGAGAAAAAAATGGGAGATTCAGTATTGTTGGTTCTGTTGTATATCATTGAAAAGTTTACCAACCAAATTCTATCACTCAAAATATAACTAACTGTGTACATGAAATATTGGTTGAATACATCCAATGGCAATAATAAAAAAAAACTGCATGCACAGAAAATTAACAGTGGCAAACTACAGGTATAAATGGTAACAATGCTATAGCAAATAATGTTAATACGGTAACAATGTAAGATTTGGTGAGTGCCTTAAAAGCAAGTGAATTATAATAATGACTGTATATCTTACTGGGTGCATACAGACCCAAATTTCACTAGAATTGATGCTTTGCAAATGTCCAGATCCTACACTTTATATAGAATTTGGAGGCACTTATTTTAAAGTTGTGCCTAATACATCCAACTTTACATTGCAGATTTGGTCAGAATGTCAGAATGATTGAATTTCAACAGGATTTGCGTTTGGTAAATATGAGAATTCCCAATCCAGTCAGAATTCCGTCATTTCCATTGACAGTTATTTACTAAAGTGAGATTTGTCAGGAATTCAAAATAAATGTAAAATTTAAGGCCAAAGTAAGCGAACTGGAAAAATCCCCCAAGTCAGCTATACTTCCAATTTGACAACTTTTTCCTTAAATTTTAAATTCGCTTTGAGTTAATTTTAAATTCTCAGTCAATTCTATTTTTTGTAAATAGTCATGTTAGTGAAAATGACTGAATTCTGACAAATTTGGGAATTCTCATATTTACAAAACCCAAATCCTGTAGGATTTTAAGTCATTCTGACTGAATCTGCACAATAAATGTGGAATTAAATTCTTGTTTAATTAAACAGCCTTGTGAATGTTGTCCATCTGGACAATATTCAGGATTTAGTGAATAAATCTGTATGTTTTTTTTCTAATTATCAGATCATCCACCTGGTATTTGAAATATAACAATCTATGGATCATTTTAACCCCTTAAGAACAATGGGTTAAGCAAATCCTTTTTTTTTTGCTGACATTCCCACAAAGTCATCAGTCGTCTAGTGGTTAACACCATTTGCATGGTGTGTAAAATTTTTACAATAGCACAGTTATTGTACTTAAATCATATTAGTGAAGTTAATGCTAAAATTACTCACAGCAATAAAATGTTTAGATTACTCGTGTATGTGTATTTAGTGTATGCAAAAGTGTTAAATAATTAAATATCTGTGTACTTTCCTATGACTTCTAGACAGGCAGCTGCAAAGTATGCACAATTAAAAGTATCCTTTCCATGGACATAATTGCAGCCTGTGCCACAAACACCCATCAGTGAGGCATATATTCTGGATTTCACTATCAATGGGAATGGGAAGATGGAAACCTTAATCTGAATCTATGATGCAATGTCATTTTTTCTTATGAATATAGGGCTTTTTCTATAATAATACTAAGTGCAATGTAGGTAAGCCAGTTTTTTCTTCAAATGCCCACTTGGGATTAAAGGGCAAATATTACAAATTATATTTGAAAACTAAAGGAGTGTTTGCACATTTAATGGAAGAACCATCACTCTATTTTACACCAGCGTTTATTGAGTAGATAATCATGAATAGGGACACTATAATCACCAGAACAACTACAGCTTAAAGTAGTTGTTCTGGTATGTATATCATTCCCTTCAGGCATTTTAATGCAAACACTGCCTTTTCAGAGAAAAGGCAGTGTTTACATTGCCCCCTAGGGACACCTCCAAGTGGCCACTGGAGGTGCTTCCTGGGGCAGTGCTGCACAGTAAGCAGTACTGCCATTCAGCGTCTCCACGCTCTGCATTGGGACGCTGAATTTTCATCACAGAGATGCATTAATTCAATGTATTTCTATGAGGAGGTGCTGATTGGCTAAAAATTTTGTTTGGTCCCGCCTCCTTGCCGATTTCAGCCAATCCAATGCTTTAAATATGCCATGGTGCATCTGTACAATAAAGCCACATAAACAGTTGACAGCAAGTAAACACAGTGTTAACCTCTTGTGGCTCTAGCTCACGCATTCTAGAAAGTCATACAGGTAATATGACTCAAGACAATATCATGAATATTATCCACCTTTGGAAGCATCAGAGAACGCTCCAGGGAACTTATGTAGTTAGGCTTAGTATAACTCCATCTAGCTCTTGTCATTCTATGCCAAAATAAAAAAGGTTGGTGTAATTAAAATAGACTAAAGAAATAGAATAGACTAAAGAAAGTTAAGGCCTAAGTTATGGTCTAAAAGATTGAGAAAAGGGAGGATGAAGGAAGGACTGAAGAAAGGGAATAACAAAACTTGAGGGTGTTTCCCCCACCCCACTGGAATCAAAGACAAGATCCCTGCCCAGCGACAGAATCAATCTTATAGTTGGCCCTCTCCTTCTAATCTAGGGACAATAAACTCTATGTGAGGAGGGTCTCCTCAGGTAAGGATAAGTAATCCAACCAATAAAACCAGAGTTTCAATCTCATACTTTCGAACTGCCTAATCTCTTCCACTTTCGCAACCCAATGTGTAATTGATGGGGACTCAACGATGCTACATGTGTGTGTCAGAAGCATGATTTTGTCCCAGTCTGTCACGTCCAGTGTAACTTCCAGTTTCTCCTCCAACTTTCGTCATGTGTAGGTAGCAGAGAGTATCTGTTTTCTACCAACATTGACTAAACTAGCGACATTCATCTCAATGGGAGTGTCTCTGCATCGCATAATGCTTCAAATGGGGTAAACTCAAGTGCCAGGAAATGCTATGCGGGTATAGTCAAAAAGTACTGGCGAACTAAGGGAGTGTTGAAAGGTCACTGGACCCTTTGGCAATAACCTTCATTGGGTCAATACCTCCCTGAGCTGCTCCAACACATGCTTCACTATAGGATGCGATATAACCAGCAAAATGTGCTTGATATTGCCCTTAAAGGCTGACGGGAAATCTGGATTAACCCACAGTGGAAGCAAGGGGCCCAAGTCTATGGTGAGGAAGTGCTGGATGGCAAACCTCCTTCATGTCAGCAAGGCCATCAGGACAAACGGGTTCAACCAAGTCTCTCCCAATTCACTCCCTCTCCTGATCCAGGCCAACGCTGTCAAGGCATATTGAATAGTTACCCCCTACAGTGCCATTCACTGCTTAGTGGGTTTGTCCACACTTCATGTCACCACCCAGACAGATGTGAGGATGCATAGTACTTATCAGTACATGGAAAGGCCACCCTCCTTTGTCAACTGAGCATAAGAGATTCTTGGGGATATATAGCCTGATATAAACTACCCTATCAACAGTCAGAGCTACTTGATGGATGGGAAGATGGATAT